GGGTTGAGGGAGTTTTTGGAGAGTTAATCTCCTCTCATTTAAGAGGGGCCAAGTTTGGACAACACTGTTCTAAGCCATCATGATCTAAGTTCTGGTTTAATGCTATGTGCAAACCTAGTCATTACAGTTTCTAAACCATGAATTGTGGCTTACTGTTATGGTTATTGTCCCTTTCCCAAGATTGCACCCAGGAAGGGACAAAATATCCATCATAACATCATGAAACAACACCCATAAATTCCTCGTGTAAGAAATTGGGATGCGAGAATGTAAGGGTGGCATTTGGGTCATGATGTCACCATGCACATCATTGCTTTGAGGTGGATGTCTGTGGTTGTATCACAGAAGTGTGGCCACAAAGTGCCCTTTTTCACAAAATGTTTCATATCTGAAAAAGCACTAACAAATGTGCATAAATTATCCAATATGCTTAACTTTCCTATTTTAGCAACTCTCTCCAATCCTACCCAAAGAAGCAAAATATTCTGTCTGAGCCTCTTCTTGGGACATCTCTGAACCACTAATTCACACCCCTGAGATTCAGAGATAGAAATGATGGTTTAAAAAAGTTGAATCCTGGCCAAAAAGAAAAAAGAATTAGAAAGAAAGAAAAAGTCTACTTCTGTTCCATACTGTTATGGGCTTTACGTTTCACATTTTCTACCAATAATCAGCCTGTAAATTCCTTCTATGTGCCTCACCCTTCTCCTTAATTGCTCCCCATCCGGTGACCCAGCAATCCGCTTCCCTAGAGAACTTTTCAGAGGGTGTCGGCAAGCAGATGGGTATAATGGAGTTGGTGAAATTCACTGGCATTTGCAGTTGAATTAAAGCAATATCCCCAAGGGAGCTGCTCTTCCCATCGTAGTCTGGGTGGAGGACAATTTTTTTCACCGCTGCAAATACTGCATCACTTGAGAGATTCAAGAGCTGATAAGCACCCAGCAGCGCTATGTATTCGTAATCAGGTGCACTGCTGTAAACACAAAAGCAAAGCCAATTGTTATATTTCTAGAATGGATTCTTGGCTAAATTTAAGTTGGCTTGGTCTGTGTAACATGATACATCATAAGCCATGGACTGAAAACTACACGCCCTGGGTTCTCACATCATGTTAAGTCTAAGCTAAGCAAACCATGGTTTAACATTAAATGCAAACTTCAGCTCTGTTGAAGTAGATCATAATGGTGTACTTGATTAGCTGAAGATAAGTAATGCTGACATCGAAAGACAGAAATGCTCAGCTACTTTTATTTGAGTCTTGGTTCAAGATTTAACCTGAGGGTTGGCTGCTTCAGAACTTACACCCATAGCTAGTTTTTTCCCTCACTTCTGCTCCTTGCTCTCCAAAATGTTCTTGCTTGTCTCCAGTGTTGGAGGAGACTCCTGAGAATACCATGGACAGCCAAGAGAACAAACACATGGATCATCAAACAGATCAACCAGAGTTCTCACCTGAGGCACAAATGCCCAGGCTCAGATGATCATACTTTGGACAAAGTATGTCTTTTTTTATGTGATGTGGTTATTTTTGGTTTATTGCTTGTTTTCTGCTGTATGTCACCCAGAGTCATACTGTTTGAGTTGGGCATTCCTATAAATTGATAGGAAAAGAAGATGCTCCCAGAATGGCTGCCACAGAGAGGCTCCCTTCTTCACAAAATTGCTCTGATGCTGGGGGTGGGCAGTCACAAGACACAAGTTGAGGAGGACATTCCTTATTGCTCCACTAATTAATGCCACTACTGTAATGTTCTCAACACCCAGATGATTTTCGTTTAGTTTTTTTCCCCTTGGACAGATCAGAACATTGGCCAAGAAATGCTGTTGTTTATCCAAGGTCTAGCTTATCAAGCTGGCATTACCCACATGACTTTCCTCCTTCATTTCAGGCTCAGAGAGGTCATCAGAGCAGCTCTTTGGTATGAGTTTTTTTGTATCAATCAATCCCACAGGATCAGCAATTGTCCTTCTGTTACAACGCATAATGATTTTCCAAAGTCCTCTGCTGTATAATGTGTTAAGGCAGAATCAGAGGCCAGTCACAAGCAAGAAGAAAACGAAGGACGCATTAACCTAAAGGGCAGGGATGTCAACAGCTATGATAAAACATGCATTGCAATATCACAATGCAGGCTCTTCCTCTTGCAACTTGCCTGTAATATCCTGACACAAGTACAAAAGAGGTGGAATTTGCATTGCATTATCATATGTTTCATCATAGATTTATTTATTTAGAAAACGTACACAGCTGCCCATCTTAAATAACCCTGGGCAGTTAACAACAATACACAAAAATACATGAGAATACTTCAAAATGCAAATACAAAACAAAGTTAAAAATAACTATAATATATTAACCAAGAGACCATAGCAATTCCCAACACAGCTGCACCTATATTGGGCTCAACTAACATCCTGGCCCAATGCATGAGGGAAGAGCCAGGTCTTCAATTTGACTTCTTCTTTGCTCCCCTCATGGACACCCATGCTAAAGCATATGGGGATGATCCTTCAAATAAAGGACTGACTGAATTTGAAATTGCAAAACAATTTTTCCTGGGATTGGACTCTCTCCTAATCCTCACCCCTTTTCTTGAGAAGATGTATCCAGGTGTTACTTCTTTATCAGCATCTGTCCTACAGCAGTTGCAATCAGACCTCCTCAAGTCCTTGCCTTTTAAAGGGCTTAATGAACTTGTGAAAAATGCCCAATTTTGTGGAAGAAAGAACACGACTAAGAAAATGAATATGTAAACAGTCAGGGCTACTCTATTTGGATTGCAACATCTGGATGACCAGTTGATGGCAGCAAGGAGGTAGTTTGGGTCTTTCTTTGCTGTCATCTGGCAGTCCTCTGGATATGGTAGCCCTAAAAAAGTGCTTTTCCCTGCAGCAAATCATGTGGTCCAGTTAGACTGGATGGATGGTGATGGTGGTAGTGGTTGGTGGGGAAGCTCCTTGGCTGGAGTGTGGGTGCCCTTGCCTTCTGTTCCCCTTCTGAAGCCAGCAATGATCTGGTGATTCTCCGTGACTTATGTAAAAGCTTGCCCTCCAATCTAAGCAACAGTTCACAAAAGTCACATTACACTCAAATGGAGAGGCCAGCTCCTTACTTTTGCAAAGGGTCACTCATAGTCCTCCTATCTAAAGCAGAAATGCAAACCCAGGTCTGCACGTGGCACCTAAAAACTTAGCTGCAGCCCCTGCAAACCCCCAAAAGTTGTTACCAAAGTGTAATTTTAAATGTGAGAGAAGGGTTATCTTAACCCTATCAAATGTCAATTAAATGTAAATTAAGTTTGAATGTTATCCTGCTCGACATACCATCTTTTTTGATTCTGGTCTGATCTTTGCATGCCATAGCAAATGATTTGGCCAACCTTGTTTGAGCTTGGTGATTAAGCAGGCTGAAGCCTGGTTAAAACTTGGATGAGAAAGACCAGAAAATTCCAGGGTTATTAGCTGAGCAATCAAACAACAACAACAAAAAAAACCATGCATCAAGGCTATGTATTATTAGGATGGCTTATTGGGTATGTAACCTTTCACCCCTAGTAATTTTTCAAAGGATTCTTTAACACCTCTGGGAGCAGAACACAAGACCTCGCAATGCTGCCTATGACTTTGGGACTCTACATTGTTTATCAGCAACCCAATCAGTTTCTTACCTCTAGGAAGCATCCTTTCTGGTCTTATAAAGATGCCGATATACTTCCTGCCCCATTGACTAGATGACAAGTTGGTTTTACCTGCTTCCTGGCTCACTAATTAGCTTGCTGTTTTTCCCCATCTCTAATATGGCTCTGCTGAAACTACAGCTTCTTGGTGGGCAGCTTTAGTCCAACTTAGCAGCTTAAGTGAAGCTTTCATGAGGATCCCTAGCAACACATATCTGATACATACTCATAGAAGCAATGAGCTGCCGATAGGACCCATTGATCACTTATAACTGAGCCACCGCAAATAGGCTTATTATTCTCGAGAATGCTGACTTGCCAGGGCCATTTCCCCTTGATGGCATCTTGACCTCCAACAATTCGTGGGGTTCTTGGTTGTCCACATTCTGCACAGAGAAGAGAAGGAACAGCAGGTTTCTTAACGATCCTTTGCAATGTTCAACTAAATGGAACTCCTAGGCTTGATTCACATAACTCATGAAAGATCTAACATCTGAACCCGATTGATGGAATATAATGACTCTGTTCAGATAACATGCCATGGCAAAGTAACTAGACAAACATGTTATTGTTTACTGTGAAGTTTTGGTTAACACAACTAAGACCACGAATGGTTTCTCGCACCACACAGATTGATAAGCATTTGATTCCAACTCTACAGGGCGTCAGAAATCAACTTTTAATTTTTTTTTTTTGTTAATACTGTATATGTGCACAAAAGTCTGACACTTTAAATAACTATCCCTCTTGCATTCAGGGTGGGATGGAGAACCTCAAACCCAAGAGCCTATTTCACTCTGCTAGAGCTGATCTATTCAGCTCCAGGACTACAGTGAGCTTGTTCCCAAACTTTCCTTCCAATCTTGCCAGATCCATTGGCAAGTTTCTCAGCTGGTATACCTGCCAACATGTTTTTTTCAGCTACCTGAAATCAGATTAGTCATACAAGTAAGAAGAGAAATCTTAGGTCTTCAATTCCTAGCTCTCATCTAAGCATCCCCTTGTCCAGAACTTTTTTACCAACTTAGAAACAGAACTTTCCAACACTTTAACCTTCTCATGTCTATGAACCAGAGTGTAACGTTTTGGAACATGGATGCTTGGTTAGAGGCCAAATGGATCTGTGTGATAGGGCTAAGGAGAGGGTTAAGGATTCTCCTTTAACCCTGGCTCCAAATTACTTGCTTCCTTGCACCATTGCCAAACATTTGCAGTGTGAATCTATCCCCCAACCTCCATTTTCAGCCCTAAAATAATGAAAACTGAAAAAGGTAAAGACTTTCTAAAGTTGAGCTTGACCGCTGCTGACTGCATAGATACACCCATATAATTCAGTACGATTTAAAATGAAAAAAACCAGAACCCTCCATCCCTTGGAAGACATGAAAGAAACACGTATCCTCACCCATATAGATAATCTATCCCATTTTTTTGTATTTTCACTTTGCCCATTGTGAACTTTAAGCCTCCAGAGAAAACAGTGGCTATCCAAAAGTTACTTACCCTGAGCTATTGAATCATTTTAGAGCCCAGAAGAATGTTTTGCAAGTGTAAAATAAGGACTCCAATCACATCTCAAACTGGAAACCTTGTTTACTTTACCCTTTTCTTCTGATATTTGCAAATCTGCCTTAAATAAGGTTTATCATTAGAGTTAGCAGGTGTGGGCTGCAAGAATTTGGACAGCCATAAGATGGCAGCAACAAGATACAGAAAGTAAACTCTTTGCTGTCATCTACATCTAGTGGCTTTCTAGGTCTGGTAGCCCTAACCAATAGGCTGTACTTTGACCTTCTCAGTAGCTTAGCTTCCTTCCATTTCTCCCATGCTTCCAATACACCGAAAGCCTTTTAGCTGTGCTTGACCTAGCAGCATCTGTGAGAATAGGGGGAAAAAAAAGGTAGATATTTCAGATAAGAGGTAACCCTGAAGAGGAACACTATCATATAGAACTGTCAATAGGAGCAGGGGAAAGGGTTCCAGCTGATCCAGGCTTGATTCAGAGGATCATATTTTGGCTTTAGTTGGGATAGTCCAAGTCTTCAGCTTGCATAAGGAGGCCCTTTGGGTGCAAGCTATTATAGCAAAGTGTCTGACACACACATACCACAAGCCTGCCACACCCAGGGCAAGTAGTTCAACTGCCATCACATGTTCTCTTGGGAATCTGAATGGGGCAGATCAGAAGCCCCCCCTGTCCCAGACTGGGTTTTTAGGCAAATGGCTGCAGTTCCCCTTTTATCCAGGGCAACTCTACCCAAGTGGTTCTGGAATGCACTTTTCATGTATCAATCCAACACTGGTGTAAGAAAATGAATAAAGACTTTATTTTAGTGAAGAGAGGACAGTGGATCCTGGAAGAATAGGATAACTGAAAAAAGTTAGAGGAGGCCTGCTTCGGCTTACAAGAGTTAGCAGTCATTAATCAGCAAACAAAGAAACAGCAAATGTGAGCAATAGTAAAATTACACAGCTGAGTAAAGCAAAACCATGGAAAACGGAAAAGAAACAAAACACCCCTGACATATCTGTCTATGCTTTCTCTATCAGCTTCACCCCACTGGTTCCAGTTCTCCCAGACATATAGATAACTTTATTTCATTCAATTATCCAGCCTGAAAGTTTTCCCAGAGCTTTGGGTTGGAGGGCTTGAGAACCAGATCTAATTAGTGAATCTGTTCCTACAGTTTTTACTATTCTGAGGATGTGCAACCGGCACACATTGAAGAAAATAAAAAGCTCAAACTTCTAACTGATTCTCCTAATCCAAATCCCCCTTGCTACCTCTCACTGAACAAGTAGAATGGGTTTATATAGTTTTTGAAAGCTAGAAACACCAGTTGGCCAGCAGCCCCTTAGATGCCCTACAATTGCAATGAAGTTAGGTCAGGTCTAATGGTTTAACATTTTCAGTTTCTATCCAGACTATGTAAGTAAGTAAGTAAATAAATAAATAAATAAAATGTTGGTCCAAGGCCAGGAAAGTAAAAAAGAAAACCTCATACACAGAACAAACAATCAAAATATTACATAAAAGAAATGGCAAAATGTTAAATATAGCACATGACAGCAGAATTGGACTTAAAATCCCTGCATTATTATTATTTTTGTTGTTGTTGTTGTTTCCATGCATTTCCTGATATGCATAGTCCTAAAAACAAATGTTGTCACCTTCTAAGGAATGTCTGAATTTGAATCAAATAAAAGGAGAGTTATATAAAATACTGTACATCTGATGTATATGTAACCGAGGTCCTAATAGTTGTCAAGAATTCTTATAAAAGGAACCACACAGGAGATTCCCAAGCGGATAACTAATGTTTCCTCATTTGGGTGAAATGTGAAATCAAATCAGCGAGAAGGTTCATGGTTCAGGGGATTTTGCTGTGACATCATTCAACGTTTGTACTGAATTATCTAGGAGTTAACAAAGTCCAGTAATTTTGAAGGCCTTATGGAAGCCTGCCTAGAAGTCTCTGATATGCTTTCTTCACCACTTTGAAAGAAATACAATGATAAGATTATGGGCCACGCTAATTTTCTTCTAATTATACAACCTCTTATATCTATAAAAGTAGGTGAGAAGCTTCGTCCGTGTTAAATATGAATGAGAACTTTGTTCAGTTTCCACTTGGATGGGAATGTCCCTAATTTGCACTTCCTGAATCTGCACATAAATTATATGAATTCACATACTGAAATAGATATTTTTTTCCAGATTTTTCAAAGCAATTAATCATCCAAAGCATTGCACAAAATATGTGCTATGGGGAAAAATGTGCTAAAATATGTGTATATTTGAAAAATGTCAGCCTTGCGAGATAGACCGGACAGGAAACACAGTCAGGTGAGCTAATTCTACTTTATTGTAAGGTTACATTAACAGAATCTTGCAAGTCTGAAAGTACATTTCTCTCTTCCTTGCGAGATAGACCGGACAGGAAACACAGTCAGGTGAGCTAATTCTACTTTATTGTAAGGTTACATTAACAGAATCTTGCAAGTCTGAAAGTACATTTCTCTCTTCCCCCCATCCCCTTTACAGCCCAAGAAAATAAGGAGGGTCTCTTCCGAGCCTCTTGCCCCACCCACATTCCTACTGTGGGCTAAGTTGCCTTTTATCTGACTGTTTTCTTGGCTGCATCTGTTTGCCCTGTCTCCCAAGGTTATTCCCACACACCATTACAGAAAACTATCCACAAAGTGCGTATGTGAGAAGAAATGGACATGAAAATACATCTGAACTTTTATGCAAGCTTTTTTTAAAATTCCTAATATGATACAGAAATGGGCAGAAACAAAAAAAGATAGAAAAACTTTTTAAAAAGTAAGTGAAACCAAACTTCTGAAATTTTATGCATCCTTAGCTTGTCTACTCTTGTCAGTTGGGGCTTCAAGATTACAGGTCTTTCATTGACTCCTAAAAAATGTTTGTCTTAAACTAAATGTTTGAAGGAGAGTGATAGGATGCGTGTAAAAAAGAAAGAAAGAAAGAAAGAAAGAAAGAGAAAAAAGGAGGGATAAAATCTTGGGAACACCAAAAGGAAAGAGTTGGTTTGCATGAGGTAAAGTCTATGAAGCTGAGACTGAAGAAGATGAAACCCCAGATGCATGCTGGGGAATTTAGAGTGAGAGACAGAGAGAACTAAAGCAGAAAAGAACAAGTTCAGGGAAGAAACTTTGCATCCAAACATTTTGGCAAGAAAATCTTTATGGAGGGTAATGCCCAGCAAGGGATAGATAGAAACTAATTTGTCAATCAATCATTCAATCATTCAATCATTCAATCATTCAATCATTCAATCATTCAATCATTCAATCATTCAATCATTCAATCAATCAATCAATCAATCAATCAGTCAATCAGTCAATCAATCAACAAAGCAAGCAATCAAGCATACAAGCTTGGCTTTCCAGGAGATTGATAGATCACTTAAAAAGCACCCTCCCCACACCTGTCAGTCAGGGTGCTGGTATCTTCCCACCTCACCCAGCACCCCACCTAACATCTACTGGGATTTTTGGTTTGTTTTTGACATGGCATTGATGTCAAATCTGCTGGAGGACTGGCATTTGTTTGGAGAGCACTGGTTTTCCAAGAGATTGGTATTCTGGTGTACAAACAAACAAGCAGCTTGTGCATGCCAAGTGCCTGGTCTCTTTTGAAGCCCAAGCCAAAATGAACACAATGCCCAGTGACTGGACAGGGAGATGGTGCAGACATAACGTATTTAAGCAGCCAACAGGATCCCTGACTGTGTTATCACCAGTCTCAACACTGAGGTGTCATAGATTGTATGTCTGAAAAGACCTTTGGGGAGAAGAGGATCAACTTAATTTTAGCAATCTTAAAAATGACTTTAGGCTGGGAATAAGATGGAGGCAC